GCCCAGGCTTCAGGGAAACCCACAGGCCTCCTGTGCTTCCTGAGCCCAGACAACAGCCAGGTGTCTCGCGATGGGCAAGATCCCAGGTGGCAACCCCAACCCTCCTCTGACCCAGAGGCCACTGCTCCAGCAGGGCTGTCCACAGAGGCCCCACCTCCACACTCCCAGGCCCTGTGAATCAGAGGGGCCAGGACCCTCTGAAGGCCCCTCAGAGCCAGACGGAAGGCCACCCCTGCCTGCAGGCCTCGGTGAGACAGGCAGGGACAGGGGGCTGTGCCAGCCCATCCAGCGCTTCCCTGTACTTCCTCTTTCCACACTTCCTAATGCCAGGGCAAGGCTCCACCAAGACAAAACTGCCCCACGGGTGAGGCTCAATCCCAGTACTGGAAATCACAGGTGCCCCCCACCAGGCCATGCTCCCCTTCTTCCTGCTTCTCAACACACCTCTAAAGCAACCGGGCCTTTTGCCTCTGGAGCTGATCTCCCCCACGCCAGGAAGACCAGCAGCCCAGAAACACCCCTAGCTTCTCCTCCCCTCTCAACCATTTTCCTATCCCTCCAACCTTTCCAAGGTGGCAGAAAAAAAAAGAACAAAGCCCAAAAAAGCCCCTCCCCCTGCCAGGTGAAAATTCCAAAGCCAGAGCCAGGGGCTCTGCAGCCTGGGCAGGGAGGCGCCAGGGCCACTGGGGCCTCTAGGAATCCAAAACCCTCCGCACTCATAATTTGGGGGAGTCTCCCTCCATTGAATGAAAAGCCAAACGCCAGGGCCTGTGGCTTGAGGCGGTGCTGGGAACGTGCACCAGTCTGGAAACAGGACCAGGCACCTCTCCACAGCCTGCGATCCTGCACGGAGAAGCAGCCTGCGAGACGGCACCAGGGTGCCCACAGGAAAGAAAAACAGGCGCTCCCTCTGAGCACGGCGGACCCAAGATTCAGAACAGAAATGCTCACGCGCTTCCGAGTTCTGAGCGGGGAGCAGAGCTGAGAAGCAGGACTCTTGGGCTGACTCTCCCCTCCCCATTCCTCGGGGCATGTGTCATGGCCTGTGACACACCGCCCAGGGAACACGGATGCCAGGAAAGTGTCTACACATGCTACACGTTTGTGACATGCCATGTAAGCGACACCGCTTCCTGGCTGGGCTTTCTCGGCACAGGTGTGGGCAGGCACTGGATTCTGCCCCCTCCCACTGTGCTTAGTAAACAGTATCAGAGCGGCCTGGGGGTGGTGCATTCTAAGCAAGCCAGGGGGCAGGGGGTCCCCTCTCCTAAGAGGACGGACCCCCACAGCCATGCTCCAGCCAAGCTGGAGCCCTGTTTGAAACTGTCCTTGTTTCAAAACACAAAGCATCCTGTTCAGGCTCCTAGCGCCACCCCCACTCTGCCCCTGCAGCCCACCACAGCTGTCTCTCGGAGAGGAAGAAGGCCACCATTTCATTTGCAGATTCTGTTTCAGTAAGAGTTCAGCAGATCCTTCTCTCCATCTCACCCATCTGACCCGGCCCCAGCCACACAGTGAAAAACAATAACCAGAACCCAATAGGACCTCCGACGAAACGCGGATACACACAGGCTGCACACACCCGGGCAGGACCAGGGCTGGCCAACCCAGCTGCCACCCAGAACTTGGCCACCCTGGGTCTGAGATGTTCCAGGACCGTGGCCCCCTCCCCGCTGCCAACCTCCCAATGTTGGAAGGAAATTTTCAGAAAGGGAAGTAACCAGTTTTTGCCTGCTAGACAGAGAAAGAAAAAGAAAGAATGACGGTCCCTCAAGCGGAAAAAAAAGGATTTGGTTCCAGGAAATCCTTTGGGTCTGGGGGTTTCGATGGGGGTTGGGGGGGTGTTGGTTTTCTCCTGCAGCTCAGGTCCAGGTGGGCCTCGGACTTGCAGAGAGAAGTCCCTCACCGCGACCGGGGGGAGGGGCTCAGCTTCGGTCCACCCCACGGTCCCCACCATCAGAACGCAGGACCTGGCAGGACCTGGGAGCCGAGGGTCCCCAGGCACTCAGGCCGGATAGGCCAAGTCTCCGGGCTTCTGAGGCTCCCGAGCGTGGCATCGGTCTGAGAAGCCGGGAGTCTGACCTCAGCCCCGCGCCCGAACCAGGAAGGAAGGGGGCGCGCGGCTCCCCGCCGAGCAGGCCTGGGCCAGGGCGGCGCAAGGGGCGCAGGGTCCCGGCGGTGGATGGGCTGGGGCGCGCGTGGGAAGCCTCCAGCCGCCTCGCAGAGCGACTCACCGTGGCTGACGCCAGGCTGTTGTCGGCCAGTGTTAGGTGGTGCGGCTCCCAGCGCCTCAGGAACTTCGAGGTGAGGATCTTGCTGAGAAAGGTCCGCGGGTGCCGGATGACACAGACCTGGATGTCGCCCTCCTGCAGCAGTTTGTACCTCATCCCGTTGCAGAGCAGGAGGGCCCGGCGGCAGGGCACGGCGCCCATCTTCGT